GGCATGCCTGGGGTCGGGCTCACCCTTTGCTTTTGCGGCATTGTGCCGACACCATGAAGTTTCACCAGCTGGGCACAGACTGTGGTCCGAGCATTCATCAGTGGAGGTGACGTGGCGGTATGTGGCCATCACAGCCTTTTGCATCTCGCCCACGTCACCTTCATGCGATTTCAGAGCCCGGCCATAATATGTGCTCAGCCTGGTGATCAGCTCACCTGTGAGCCTGCCTTTCCCACCAAGGCCTCTTTTCCCATCGCACTTTTGTTTCTGCACCAGGTTTCTCAATGCGGTGCCCATCCGTTTCTGTACATGATTAATACAGTCTTCCTTCTGCACGTCAATGTAACCATACACCTTGGCGTCTTGTATGGCGCAAAATGTCCTAGAGTCTCCATCAGACAGCATAGTTGTGTAGCGCAGGCCATGGCGTTCAAGCGACCTCTGAAATAGAATTAGAGCCGCCTCCACTTCCATTTGCCCCGCTTTGCTGTTCGTATTTTTTTGGCATTTGTGGTTAGCCTTCTATTCTTGATAGCCCTCACTACTAGGCTTTGGGCCCACCTCGCAGCCTAGGCAAAAGTTGGAAAGAACGACGTAGTCCAACACGTAGCCACTAAATAATTCAATAACTGTGCCCACGCCGATGTGGGAAGAATGGCCTCGCGTCTTCCACGTGCCGTCGTAGCTAACGGCAATATTGCCCCGGTGGCCGAAGCACAAGTCATCATAAATTGTTCTAACCTTTTCCGCACATTCGCTCATAGCGGACTCAGCCGCTCGCGTTGCAGCGGGTGCCAGCGTGTTCTTCAAATGCCGCTGAAACGTCTTGTGGTGCATACCGCGGTGTGAGATGCCCATTGTTGCGAAAATATCGTTCATTTTCGTTTGGCCGTTGCCGGTAGCCACCATCGCCCTCGAAGCGAGAAGATTTACTTCAAACGGATTGCACGTTTTCGTGCCGTTCGCGCGGGGCGAAGTCCATTCAATTGCGATCTCGCCGCACCTTTCACACTGCACTAGCACTTTCACGGCAAGTCCGTAGTCCCGATCCCCTCTGACGATCGTAGCCGGTCCGTGGCAGGCTTTGCAACACAAGGCATCCATTATCGCGTTTAGGATATCTAGATGCATAAGCAGATAAGGAGCAGCGTGGTCCGAGTCCTGTGCGGTTGCCTCGCTACAACTCGCGGTGAAAAAGTCAATTTTCCGTGCAGTTGCTGGCGCCGATGAAAGCCGGTCGAGCGTCGCTTTCTCCCGGGCATGATTTTCTTCAACTTCGGCGTTTGTCACCACCTTGGCGTCGATTCGTAGTCGTCCGGAGTTCGCTTCACCGTCATCATCGTCGGAGGCAACGCGCTTGGTCGCACCATCGCTGAACGGCCGCGGAGCGTCGACACATCGTTCGTCGGAGTCAACCAAGGGCTCTGATGACTTCGTAGACTTTCTCCCACGACCTTTGCGTTTCCTGCGACCAAATGCGTGCACGGTCCGATACTTTTTTGCGTTTCCAGGCATGGCGATACGATCAGAAGCTTCAGAGTGCTCTGCCGATTTCGAGGCGTCACAGCGGTAACCCTTTCAAAATGGCGTCGGGTCGCGTATGCAGGCGCAAGCCGCGAGCTTCCAGCCAACCAGAAAGCGCCATTTCAGTCACGTGCGCCGTTTAGCCAATGGCAGTGAGCGCGGCTCTTCGTCTTTGAGGCCCCGTTTTTCGAGCCGGGGAAACGCTCAGTGTTGCTTAATGAATAAAAAAAACAGCTGAAAACGCGTTCTTTCAAACAAGACCAAAATGGCGCCGATCGAGCGCGTAGTTCCCGCGTATCGTAAAGCCGAAACCTGCGCTATTCGCCCTCAATTTAAAGGGCAGGACGCCCGTTTTCGGTTTTTTAAAGTTGAATAACGATAAAAGTTGATGGTATTCGGCTGTGAAATTTTGTAAATAGGTGCGCAATGATGTCGGGAACGCGAAAAGAAGGTCCGCGAAAACTCGATTTTTTGGCTGATTTTCGGTCCCGAAGTGCCGCGTCCCCCCTTAAGTGTACACAAAAGTACACTTAAAGGGCCCCTAAACCACCCGGAGGCCGCATTTCAGTTGTGGTGGGGAAGTTGTGCGCGAGTGTACACCGTGTTTCATTATCAAAACATGGTGATTGCTGCTTTCACTCTTTCCTTTGCTACCCTCTGCTGGTATCCTCCCTCAAAGCTGCCTTGCCAGCCGAGTGCCCATCCTGGTGTCTCTCCTCTCATATGCAAGTTTTTTTTTTCCTAAGCCCTTTACTTTGTATCTTTTTTTCTCTTTTACTTTACTTTCTTTTTTTCGTGCTCACAGTCCCTTCAGTACACTCTTCCCCCGCAAGTGTATCGGTTGAGGTGTCCTCACATGAGGGACAGTTATTGTGCACTCCACACCCCCATGTTTTTACCTCCCCACCTTTTCCTAAAAAATCACTCGCCCCTCCCCCCCTCCTCTAACTCTCGCGTGGCACGCAGGTGCACGTGCTGTCTGTGCGTGGCTAGAAGAACGTGTGCTGCAGGAAGGTGGCGCGTGCAGGCAGTCTAACGTAAACACGACAAACAACAAGGAGCGTGGCCTGCAGACTAACAGGTTGCTCGACCAATCGCAGCATGAACGCGAAGTGCGTCAGATTGAACTTCTCGATGTCACACAGAGGCCGAGAAAGGCCTGAAGAGAAGGAGGGATTGTTTCTTCAAATTTGTAGCGCAACGGCGGCTTGTAGCGCTGTCACATGTGGCCTCATTGATCGTGACTGCATTCTGTGCACCATCTGCGTGTTCACTTGAAATGTTCGAAAAAAACATTGAAGGTGGTTTAGGGCTAAGGACGAGACATGGCGACAAATACTACTTTCGCTATTTATGGATCAAGCCAATTTCAAAACGAGCATTAGTTCAAACTACAGCCGACGACCGATATGTCAGACGCCAAATTTTTCAGACATGCTTGATTATTTGGACTTTTAGCCAGCACCAAGACATTCCTTTGAAGTTCAATGTACATAAAACCTTATGAATTCGAACTCGGGTACATTGAAATCATGTTTAATCCGAAGTATCTCAACGGTCCTGTCTTTCGCAATGCAAGTTCGAGCAGATAATTTAAAGTAGCAGTCAGCACCAGTTCGATTAATTCGAAAAGTTAGGGTGCAGTGTACAGATTCAGAATCCCGATTTCGTTGCAAAACCATGAAAAAACGACTCTTAAGAGCAATTAGGCAACGTACTGTAGCGATACTACTGAGCGGCAGCTGAAGTAACCCATCTTCGATACTTCCAGAACGAAAAACAAAATTGTAAAAAAAACGGTCTTGTGATCAACTAAAATGTGCACGTGCGGAAAACAAAATGTGCTTCACTGCAGTACATCAGTGACGCGCAAGCAGCATGCCACACGCTTCTTGGAACGTTAGCGTGTCATGATTTATCCGTTCTTTCTGGGAATATAAAAAAATTAATATGTCTAGCGGAATTCGCAATGTATGCGAACCTCCGAGTGCCGGTCGCTCCAGCAATATGGACACTTGCACTGCTGGTGGAGTTGTTGCCTGCTACACCTACTTCGGAAACTCGATTTGAAAGCTTCAATGATTATGTTTTTTTCAGCCAGAACATCGCGAATTTCGTCACACTGCCTATTTGTGAATTCTTTATTTTACCAGAAATAATGGGTGAATAGTCGCATCGTGGCGTGCTGATGCAGCAAGAAGCAAGTGACACACTGCCCGCGTGTCACTACTGTGGTGTACTGCAGACGTCTTATTTTTCGCAAACGTGCATTTCAATTCATCACTACATTTTTTTCTTTTCCTTCTTTTTTTAACGATTGCAGCAGCATGTCTCGGCGTTCCTCCTTGTTTACGGCAAAATTGTGACCTTGTACTGCTAGAAAGCATAACCCTTGGAGCCGCAAACTAGCCAGCACAGCAACACGACCGGCCTTGATTATACTCACGGTTCCAGTGACTTCGAATTAACGAGGTTCTACTGCACTTTGCAGTTCCAAATTTCGGACATTCAAGGACAGGCTGTTCGATATTTTTGATTTCCAAGCGTCAGTCAAGCCGACTACACAGCATTTTTATGGGTGTCATCGCCATCTTGTTTGTTTACAAAACGAACTATCGTCTCTGGTTGCTTTCACATGCAGTGGTGTGCTTCAACAGCAGAAAAGCCTACTCAGTCGATCTGCTTGGAGCACTTAGCATGCTTGCCAATACAAGGCCGCTGATGGCATCCACAACGGTGCTCAACTGTTTCTGCCATGCAGGATTTGTGTTGAATGGTGGGCAGGTCGGCTGCTTTAGAAGACACTGTCATCGAGCAGGTGTCCGGAAGTGAGAAGCTCATCGACGGCCATCGCACTGCAGGCATAAGAATTCCCTTGAATGTCTCGTTTTTTTGAGTTTGCAGACATGAACAGTGGGTTGGAACCGTGCACTATTTTCGCCGATGAGGAAATCATTCGTGAAGTACTTGTAGAGTTCGAGACGACGCCGACGATGCCTCACTTGCAACAGCGCAGCCGATACGAGCTGAACTGATGCAAGCAGTCGCAACTTCTGTATCAGCTTACAATGACACTATGATCACACAGAACTTATCCACAAGGTTTAGTTTGCTAGCCTATTGTGTATAAAAGCGTGCACAAGCTATTTGAGACTATCACACAACAAGGTAACACAGGGGTCGCTTTTGCTTCTGTGATCGATACATGACAGAGCACACTTCAATGCAAAGCAACTTGTGAACTTTTAATGCCACATTTTTTTTTTAAATAAAAAAGGCCACTCGTTCAAAAGGACCTCAAAGGAGCCAATGACTATATTTCTGTATTTTACAATATTGAAACCGCCTGTCCTTTTTGTGTGTTTTGAATAAGGTTCATTTAGGTGTATCTTCTATACAGTGAATTCTCAAGAAATCATCATTCAAAGTACTGTTGTTTTTTTTCACGCTATCACTGCTACTATGATTTGCCTCACCTTGTTATTCTGGCCTCTAAAGTTGCCACCACGACCCCGTCCGCGGCGGTTGGGAGGCCGTCTTTCATCACGGCTAAGGTAAGCATCAATCTTGGCTGCATCCTCCTGACTGATGACTGCATCTGAAGATAGCAGAAGAACAATAAGGTGTTAGAAGGACACTAAAGTGAAACAATAAATCCGTTCACAGTGACAAATTATAGCCTGGAATTTTCAGTCGTTAATTTCCCCATCATAGGCACATCACAGAAAAGAGAACTAACGACAAAACTTCATTTTTAGTTTTCCTGCTATAGTTCCTGAAGGTGACATCAAGAATTTTGAAATGTTTTACAGGTGACGTCCGATTTCTCGGACTACCGAAATTCCGGACATGCCTGACTTCCTGGACTCGTCTGTGGCACCATCAGGTTTCCCACAGTCATATAATACTACTACTACTACTACTACTACTACTACTACTACTACTACTACTAATAATAATAATAATAATAATAATAATAACAATAATAATAATAACGAAATAAGGAAACATGGAAAATAAAAACTTCGAGAACAAACTACTCCACAGATGAATTATCCTACATAGTTTCTACGTTACTTAATAAAAAAAGTGCCGCCATATCCACGAAGTGAATGACAATGAGTGGGCGAAGCTCCGGAGGTAAACCTGGTAAACCACGAATTCTCCGTACACTTTGCCCACTAGATTTTATTACAACGCTCCCCCTAGCGTACGTCGCCGCACTACCGTAATTACTCGAATCTAACACGCACCTTTTTTCTGGTTAAGCGAGTTCATAAATCGCATGCGCGTTAGAATCGAGTACGAAAAAAAAAATGAATACAGTCATTCTATTGCCATTGGCATTTTCAAAATGGCCGCCCCTTAAATGCGTCGGCATTGCGCGTCGGACATTTCTGCCTACAGGTTTCCCATGAGCGGCACTTCGTACGTGTGCTGAGGAGTTCGTCATCTTGTAGAGCATTAGCATCGACGGCATGGAAGGGCCGACATTAAAAACTCGAGTGCACCACGATGCCGCTTTTAAAAGAAAAGTCATCGCGTGTGCCCAAACAGACGGAAATCGGGCCGCATCGCGGTCGTTCGGAGTTCCCGAAACGTGCGTGCGGGACTGGCGGAAACAAAAGCAGAAGATTTTCGACAGCAAACATTCATGCAAAGGCTTCAGTGGACCACAGCAGGGTCGGTTTCCGCAAATTAAAGAGCTGCTCGGCGAGTATGCGATTGAGCAGTGAGCGGCACAGCGGCCCGTGACGACAGAACTGCTCCAAGTGCGGGCTATGCAATTAGCCTTAGAAAAAGGTCTAATGCGGAGCCAGTTTAAAGCCAGCAGGTGATGGCTAACTACCTATATGAAGAGGAAAGGCTTTTCCTTCCGAAGTCGAACGGGCATATGCGAAAAGTTGCCGGAGGAGTACAAAGAAAAGCTTCACAGTTTTTAGAAGTTCGTCCTAAACTTGCAGCACAATGGCTACCTACTTGGGCATATCGGGAATGCCGATCAGACGCCTCTTTACTTCAACGTGCCTGTGACAGCAACCGTCGAGAAAAAATGGGCGAAGCAAGCTCGCGTGCTGACATCGGGCCACGGTAAAACTAGAGTAACGGCGATGCTCTGTTGCACGTCACATAGGCACAAGCTTCCCCCGTACCTCATATTTAAACGGAAGACGCTCCTGAAAGGAGTCGTTTTCCCGAGTGGTCTGATCGTGAGGGCCAACGAGAAAAATAGGTGCGCGTTGCGATCCATGTTTATTTTTTTCATCGTAGAAACCAGGTGCGCGTTATAATCGAGGGTGCAGTAGAATTGAGTAAATACGGTAAATCCAACGATTGCCTTCACCAATGACACGCGCCGTATTGGACATCATTCCTATTTTATAACATCTCGCATCTTTCATAATCAACTACAAGTACCGCCGTCTAGTTTATAACAAACATCTTGCATCTTTTCATCATCAGCTACAAGTACCGCCATCTAGTGAACACTGAAAGAACTAAACGAGAGATGGCTACATACAGGGGACGCACACCCACGCCTCAAGGAGCTTCGCCCCTAATACGTGAAAGCTAGCATAGATTTCTTACACTGTACACAGACTCGATTGCGCTGATAAACACGTTTAGTTTTTAAGATTTCTTTGCAGTTGCTGTAATATCATGGTTGCTATTTATATTTTTAGAATTCGGAGTTGATTTTTTATATTTTTATTTGTTTTTATTTATTCATTTCTTTATTTGTTGTTGTTGAGTTCACATTGCTGACTGTTTGCCACTGCTTTCGTGCTAAATGGTGACTGTGGGCCTTTGTCAAGCTGCCGCTTTCGGAGATCAGCTTATACCTGCAGCTGTCCTTCGTCAAACTATCGATGAAAAACATTATTATTATTATTATTATTATTATTATTATTATTATTATATATTAAAAGTCCGATATTCAGGACTTTTTACCGCTGACCGCAGACTCAAAGTCGCTATCGACACCGCCATTTTGGTTGTTTTCGTACCCTCGAACTCACCCCGCCGCGGCTACCGTACCCTCGAAATCGCAAATGCCGCAATCGAGCGCACACCAATCCACTGCTAGTCGTAGCTTAGTCAAGCCTACGGCCACAGCCATGTCAGAGCCGCTTGGTGCTCTGCAGCCTGTGCTCCGACAGTGGGAAACGCTGCACTGTTGACCTATGGTTTGCCGTCACCATGCTTGTAGATTCGTTGAAAGCGGTTACACAACAGACCCTCCAGAACTGTTTTCGCCACACGAGCTTGCTTCAGACTGGACGCCGACTGGAGTGGACAGAGTGTGCGACGAACTCGCGGGCGTTGCCTTTGACGATCTGCACGCTGCTGGTGTTTTGATTCCAGCCGGGATAACCTTTGAGAGCTTTGCAGACGCTGATGAATACCTCGGGCTGTGTGCGTAATTTCAGCCTGACCACCTCAAGAAAATTTTTTCAAATTTGATATGCTATGTCTCTAGCCCCCTCAGAGGACAAAGTACTTCATATTTATTGATTAGGAACTACAAAGGCTATAGTACAAAGTCTACGATGTTACCGCCACAGAGTTTACTGAATATACACTAGAGGGAACTCCGGCGCTAGTGTCTATAAGAGCTGCAATGCACGGTGCTTCAGCGAGCATGGGAATGATGGGTAGTACACGAATTTGTCTGATCTTTGTACCTCTGGCTCCAAGTGTGTTCGTGTGGCTTAGAACTGTTTTCTCATGAATAAAAAATCAGCAAATGTTCAGCGGTAGCGCTTCACCACCTTATTCTTTTAGGCTTACCTTTTCATATCGGGTCACAAACTTCAAAAGGGTTCGTTCTTTCCTTCGAAACAAAACCGAAAAACAGCAATGAACGAAGACACAAGCAAGTACGATTCACCACCCGCAAGTATTCACCACCCGCAAGGCAAATACGTGCATTACCCATCATTCCCATGGGCGCTGAATGAGCGCAGTGCCAGAATCCCTTCTAGTTAATTGTAGGACACTCTATGGTTACTGCGACCGGTGTGAGAATTTTAAGATTGCCAACTGCATTTTCTTTTCGTGGGTTTTCTCGCTTACCTAACATCTTCCTACAGCAAGCATGGTGATTTGGGCATTACGAAAAAGTAATTCGCTACTACTAGAAAAATTACTTTTCTCTTTGGTATCCTTCTTGGGCTAGTTGGCACATACTATAAGAATCGGGTAACAGTTCAAGAAACTGCAAGGAATCTGTGTCTCCTATAAACATAGCTACAGCAGCCAGAAATCAAACTTGTGACCTTGTGTTGTGGGGTTGCTGACACCTCCTGTAGAGTTGTTTGTGCCGCGTGGCTCACGTGTCTCACACAGATGCCGGGTTTCCGGGTCACAACTATTGAGTGGTAAGTGGAGTGCTCACGAGCATTGGTCACCACTATCATCATCATGGTTAGATCGGTAGTGCCGGCGATGAACCCTGGCGGCAAGCCTTAGTAGTGGCATGAGAGTTGAGCGAGTTTTCTGGGCTGGTGGCGTTCGACGCGAACAGTTGTCTTTCGCAGTGGGAGCCCGGTGCACGGCACCACGGGCCGTCTGCCGGGGGCCCTTGTGGTGAGTCAGGCGTCAGCGACACCGCTTTGTTTGTCATGTTGTTGACAAATAGTTGTGTAATATTGTGTAAGATTGCTTAGCGTGTGGATCACAATTGATGTTATAATAATTGGGCTGACGATATCATCGTTCTAAAAGTAGTTAAATAAATGTATCATTTGGCTTGGTTTGTTCCAACCGCGTCTGCTGTGACCGTTCACTCCAAGAGCATGGCTCTCTCCATTTCAAGACCACACAGTGTACAGCCACTTGCTGACCAATGATATGAAATGCTTTGAAGAAGTAAGTGAAACACTGCAAGAGGCGTCGATTGTCAAATGCTAAGACACTGGGCCAAATAATGAAGCAACACAAGAAACAGTAGTGCTTACCTAGAGAATCGGGTATGGCCTGTCGTCGTTTCGATGACACTGTGGCAATCACAGTGCCCACGCGCCTTTCAGTCTGGAAGCGGCCTCTCCGTCCTCCTCCCTCCTCCTCCTCTTCTTCGTCTTCAGGAGGTCTTGCAGACTCCCTCTCCGTGGACTCGGCGCGAGACAAACTTGGAGAAGAGGGTGGTTCAGGGGCGAGTGGCACAGGCTCCTCTGTTTTCTGAGCGGGTGGTGGCACTGCACTCTGGGCTGTCTTCTGAGGCCGGTTTGGCAGACGAAGTCGATGGGACCGAGGCTGCAGGCTAGACAAACTCTGTAATTGTTGTTCAACACAACAAAATGAATCGGACAATCAGGCCAGGAAAAGTGTAGGGGCCATTAATTTTTCACTGTAGTGTGGTAATGATGACTAAGTTCAATTGATCAATGAGGACAAAAAATTACCCTTTCTGCCTGTGGAATTTCACCCCCCCCCCTTCAAATTACACATCCGACACTACCAATAGAGCTACAATGGAAGGCGCTTTCCCATCCACTTTGTTAGGTATTTTTGAATATTTAATCCTGGGCAGTGTTAGCCGGCACCTCTCGTAGCCAAGGTGGCAAATGTGAAACACTCAATTTCACCAGAAGGCATCACATATTCCAGAAAGGTGGCGACTGACCAATAAACTTTCACATGATAACCTAAGGCATTAAGCAAGCTGGGGCAAGGCCCTCGCTGTGTATGAATGAAGGAAAATTTTCATGATGGGTTTCCTTTGTTAGACACAGCCATATGAATACCGTAGACAATTAGCTCAGGGACCATAAAAAGTGGCAATGCTTTTAATGGCTCCATTATGACAAATGTGAAACTTGATCGAAATAGCACTAAAGACAAGAAAGTGATGGGAAGGGACAAACACGGCAACAGGAATTGGGATTGCCTAGCTGTTGAGCCAAAAATGTTATTTGGAATTGCAAGCTTCACTAGAGAGAAACACTGATTTCCCTTTCTTTGATCACAATAAATGCAAGTTTCAGAGTCTCTTTGTAAAAGCCAAAGAAGCCAACAAAAATGCGCATGAGCAGTGTGAATGATATATGAAAGGATGGCAATTAGGGCTGGTTGGTACTACTCTATGATGCTTAAAGGAGCACTGACATCAAATTTTCTCATGTCAAGATTTTTGCGCCAACGAGTAGCTATCTACCTCCTAGTAGTGATTCGCGACCTAAAATGCATCTGAGTGACGAATATCTGTAATATTGATTAATATATCTGCTATCGAACGTGGTTCAAAATGGGTCGAAAGCCTGCCAAATTGTAGGGCTGTTAGCCACGTGAAGGCCACTGCATAGCTAATGCTGCTTTCACAAAAAATGGTGACGTCAAGCACACTGACATTTCGTCTGCTAGGAGCGCACGTGCAGTCAGTCGAGCTGTGTCTCTGATGATGTAGACTAAAGCCCCTCCATGCGTTTTCGCCGGCTAGGTTAAGTAGCGCCAACTCATTCTTCCCCTCTCCCTTTCGTCCCGGCCTAGAGAAGAAGCCTCGTACTGCCAGTGAAACCCAGTTCGTTCACCAAAACAGCATTTACCCTGTAGCAGCTCGGTGCAAAGTGAAGCGAGCAAACGCGGCTGTTCTTCTTAAGCGTCCACTCACTCCATCCATCGGCGCATACGAAGTCGACCCACTGGCAACGTTGAGGTTCGTGGCTTGAAAAGGCATGAAACGCGACGCAATTTCCTACTTTTTCTGCGCCTCGACGTGCAGGTTCTCACTGCGCAGCGGTTCCCCGACATTCTGGTACGTGTTGTCACTCTGAATGATCGTACTCACGCTGTGGAGTACATGTCAAATGAGTCGATGCGACACGATGAGTCGCACGCACGCTTCAACACAGTAAGGAGAGCCATTAGTGAGGGCATGGCCAGGAGTGGGCTCCAAACACACTCAGATCGTCGACATCATTGTTATAGCATATTGTAACTCAGCATGGTATTTGTGGAATGTATCACACCAAACACGTAGCACTAGTGTCGATGTCGCAGGGCAGTCTTTTCTCCGTTTTTTTCTCCTTAGCTTTTCTACGCTGTTTGACATCAAATTAAAATAACTTCCACGCGACGTATGCCGTTCAAATTTGGCCAAGAAGACCTATGTATACTAAGCGATCGAATGATGGGCACATCTCAATCTTGAAATTTGATGTCAGTGCTTCCTTTATGGGTGAAGTGCAAAGAACGAGACAAACAATGTGAACAAGCATGCCTGCTTTCAGTTTGATCTCATCTCCAATGTTTGTTTCTTCATGCTTCATCGCAAAGAAACAGACAGTGTACAATCAACCTCATAACAATAAATCATTGGAAATGAAGTTTCTGACAAATACTTCATTTATTCCTACTAAATAAGTGTTTCTCTTTAGAAGTAAATAAAGGAGTTACCTCGAGATCTTCACTGTCTTGCATCAGAGAATCTAATTCTGGGTCTATACCAACGTCCAGCACATCTCCATCGTCATTCGTCCTGATGAAGAAAGGAAGGATCGCTATGAAAACACTCCTCCAACAGCAGCACAGAACTCCTCCGGTGAATAAAGATGTGCCATAGTAGAGTGAGACAACTTAAACAGTACATAAATAATCGCTACCATAGCAAGTGCTCACAAGGTGCAGTAAAAGCTCGTTAATTTGAATCCAAAAGGGGCTGTAAAATTGTTGAATAAAGAGTAGTTTGAATTAGCAGGAGAACGCGAGAATAATCATACTTCGTGCCACACTGAGCGAGTAGACCCAAAAGAAGCCCCTTCTAGACCCTTTATCATGAACTACTAGGCCTGTGCGAATAGTTTTATGCTTCGAATATTCAAACGAATAGTAGAGTATTCGAATTTGATTCGATCTCTCAGGTCCCTTCAGGAGCTCACTTCTCGATGACCAGCAATGAGCCGTCCAGAAGCGCACGAAGTGGCTGCCAGGTACTCTCTGTCGGTCCCTTGTGGGAGACGCCCACTACGCACTAAACCCGTCCTGCAGGACTAAAAGTTTTTAAAGACACTAGTCTTTCTTGGGAACCTTCGACGCAAAAATTTTGGTCTGTCTGTCTGTACATTTGTCTGTTTGTCCACCCTCAACGATATCGAGTACTTGGCACCAGGCGATATCCAAACGGCCAACACCATCCTCAGCGCCCACCAATGTTGCTCAAGATTCAGCGTTCATACTTGTGTGATTGTCAATTAAAAAGCAATTATTGCGCATATCTGAGGCACCATAACAACACGTATATATTCTGTATGTGCGTCTTTTACTATAAAAGGCATATACATAAGTAATTCTAAGGACCGTAGCCTTTATCACGCTGCGCTGACCATGCAACGCTTGCACGAAAAGGCGACTGTTTCCAAGGCTTTGCTCAGACGACACGGTGGTGGCACCTACCCGTCACCTTGCGTTCTACACCTTATCACCTGCGCGTGGCTCTAAGACGGGCACGCACGTCCGTCTCAGAGCCACGCGCTTTGTTTTTTCCAAGAAAACTGTCAGATAGCACTCATGTCTCACGTGTGACGTGACTTTATGCGCTCGTTCGCCTCCGCTGCATGCTCAAGGCACTGTAACACAGCGCCTCCAGAATACCATTCTCCAATTTTCTGGCACTGAACATGAAATAAATGTTTTGTTCGCTCTCTCCCCACGCAAGACTATCGTCTTTTGACGACATTAACAGATTAACATGCAGATACGGGGCCAATTTTTTTCAATCCATTCCAATATTCGAAGTATTCGACATGAACGAATAGATGTATACACCGCATGTAACTGCCTGTAAAAGCGGTTTCACTGCAGTATAGCGGTGCTAAGCCGTAAAAGCACCTATCCAGAAAAATTTGCTTTGCCGGGAGTCTCGCTTCGATTTGAGCACGGTCCACAAACGCTGCCGATCGGTAGTTGAGGCTACCCAGAACAAGCGAGTTAAACATTATAGCACAGCACGAGACCTGTAATTCACAATAAATTTTCAAAGTCAGATTTGAAAAATTGCTCTCTTTGCTCGACAAATTATGCCACAATGTCGAAAATCGCTCGTCGAACCATTGCACTCGCCATTGGCTAATTTGAGCATGGGGCACTCGCTCGTTACTGGGGCCGCCGCGGGTGGCCACAATATGTTCATGTGTACATGCGCAATCGCACTGAAAAGCCGCATAATCAAAGAAAGAGTGCTCAAGGTCATGACACCATGTGACATATTTTCTTTCCCTATGCCATCTCTCACGGATTTGCTTCAAGCGCTTTCGTTGTGATAAGAATAGAGAATGCAATTGCAGCACGGGACAAATCTTTGAGACTCCACTTATACTGGGCAGATTCTAAAAATTTTTGTGGCAGTTATTTCTAAGGCGGTAAGCTTCTTTAGTGAATCCATTTCTTGAAAAACTGTAATGAATCTAGCTGTAATGAATTAAGTTACATATTTTACAGGTTATCGCTTGCATCCTACTGAAAGTCAAATCCTGCTACTTCTCAAAGTTGTTTCAATTTCCTTTGAATGGAAAAAATAAAAAACCTCTTGCATAGAGGCATTGTTTAAAAAAAAAATATTGTGCAAGTTAGTTATATCATGATAAATATGCCCGTTTTTCTTTATACATCATACACTCTATTTGAAATCATTCAACCAAAATCACTATTCGCTTCCAACCTAAAATTCACTATTTGCACAAGCATACGAATTACTAAGCCCTACTATAAGTTTATGGCAGGTGATTTCGTAAATTTGGCTTGTGTAGCTCCAACAGTGAACAGAATTATTCGACCAGTCAGTGGAACGCCAGAAATAAGCACCCGTGCACATTCATGTGAGCAGTCAGCCTTAATGTCAAAGTATATGACGCTGTTTATGCCCCAAAACATATTTATTTCAATGACAGAGTTAGCACAATAAAAACTAAAAGCAATCATTAATATGCATTCGCATCCATTTGGCCACGACTTCATGAGCATCATTTGCAACAAGCCCAGGAGCTCTAGCACAGAGTTTGAATTTCAGTTTCGTTGTTTTGCATCTCTGAATTTGGTTTGGTTTAGTTTTACAATACATTGTGATCACCAAAAGCCAACATCTGTGAGGAGCAACGAAAAAAAGGTGCTGCCAGCTATATTAACTGTTGTGGATACCAACACGTTCGGAATTATGAGGAATTTTCCCAATAGGAATGCACAGGGCTCTGCCGGGACCAGGGTGTTAGTTCAAATTAACTGTAAGTTCGAAGAAACCAAGTCTGAACCGAGTTCGAATCAACGAGATTTTACTGTGGTGCAAACTGACAACATATTCTGTAAGTATCTACTGAGTATTACCAAGCCTTGTGATGATATACAGCCGAACCCCTTCATAACAGACACTGATATAAAAGACGAATGGGTATAAGAGGCACCAGTGTGCCTGCAGCAAGATACGGGTTGATAACAAACTGAATATAAGGTATCCAGCTTATAAAAGACATCTCATATAAAAGACAAGAATGGCTGTCCAAAACATATCTCTTATAAAAAAGTTTAACTGCACAATGTTTATGGGCACAAGGACCATTTGATGGTCAAAAAGTGCTAGAGCATAACGTGTGTTCAGAATAGTTTCGCTAAGTGGCTGTATAGAGGTGTACGATTCTTCATGCTAAAGGTGACATATAAGTATTACAATCATGAGTGTGACATGAAATACTTGCAGTTAGGATCAATGAGAAGTGGTCGAAATATTAAAGTATGGAGGGAAGGCATTAGCACGAATGCATCATCAATAACCCTCGCTTCCAAGGACCATGACGCAGGTGCTTTCTTTAGCACGTTCACTGCGGCGTGGTTTACCATTGGGTCATGGCTGTGCTCCTTCGATGCGGCCGCGATGCTACGACCATGCATTTGCTTGTTAAGGCGATAACTTCATGTAACATGAACGCAGAGGTACGATTTTTGTTGCCAGAGGTTATGAATAACCACAAGAAATTTTTTCTGGTGTCAGATGCCATGACCCGCCGGTGGTTCACGGCGCACCTGGAAGATGTGCGGAGTGGCACACCGGTGGGTCACTCCGCACAAAAAATCGAGGTCTCAAGAAAGCTTGCCACAGTGAACGTGTTAATGCAGATACCTCTTCTCAGAGGTCGGCTGCAACACATTGCCTGAAGATGATGTGAAAAGTATTTACATCTTTTATAAACTTCAACAGTTTGTATTTAAAATGCTATTATCTACGTATCAGCATATATGAATGCAGAGGTATTTGCTGTCGGTAGGCTAACACAAAGTGTTTTCCTTTAATAGCATCAAGTTTCTTTTATTATATTAAGATATGAAGCAGGATGAGAGGTTCACCACAATTATCACACAAAAGTGGATCATCACCAGACAAAACATATGAGTGTGCACAGTGTGTGTGTATCTTGGATATTTTTCTTATTTCATTTTTTTCTTATTTCACATGATAGTGGTAACAGACACCAGTGGCAGTAAACAACTTTGGTGCCAAAAATGCCCTTTGTTGTGAACTCATAACAGCTTTCACTGTAAAGAGGGTTGCAGGATGTGGTAAGTTAGTTACGAAGCTCCAATTATTATAATATATGATGTTTCATGGCACAAGGGTCGTCTGAGTGACCATGAGCACCTGTTCAAGAGACAAAAGCTGTGAACAATGATTATGATACATGGCTGTGCATTGGCTTTGAGATTCGGCACACTAAAGGTGCATTAAAGACATAAGCATTAAAATAAGGAGAGTGACATAAAATGTGTACAGTGAGAATGAGTGGCAAATGATAGTGATAATAAAACTATGAAGATATATATGAGCATGAATGTCTTGTCAACGTCCAACAAATCTCCAATGAGAAACGGCCTACTCAGTAGGCCTATGGCCTTGCAGCTACTTACCAGAAGCTCTATAAGCCACCAAAAAACTGTCTAGAAATCCACAATTAGGTACGACACTCTTTAGCTATACAACAAATGTTAAAACACTCACCTTTGTTCACTGTAGCTGTATTCATCTACTATTTCAAGCCTGTCACCATCATGAACTGCCACGGGGTTGCCTTCCTCATCCACATACTCTATGTTGGCCACGTTTTCTGCTGTTTGATCACCTACAAATTCCAGCAGTTCATAAGGCGCAGATTTTAGCAACATTTGCGTGAGTTGGCCGATGCACTTATCAACACAATACGTGCAGTTCACAGCAAGAACACAAGCTGAAGTAGACGCAGTGTTTTAAACCAGCCTACACTTAAGAAGCAGCTTTATCTGATTAAGAATCTCACACTACATCTACTCTGCCTTTCATATTCTTGCGTTAAAAGGTCCCTAGACTACCCTGAGGTGGAAATTCAGTTTTTGTGCTGCAAATGTACACAAGCCTACACTGAAAATTATATTCTCTGAGAGAATTTTTATAAATGATGTTATTGTTGCACAAGCGTGATGATCCAAAAGTGGGCCATGCTAGCTTTGCTTTTTCGTTCAGTTAGCTTAGTAAATAGGCTCCTCACAGGCAAGCATGCAAATGTGCAAGCAGACGTGACTTGATGGCAATGCCGACATCCCGCTAATAGCTAAGGATTACCAAAAAGCATGGGAAGCAGCAGAAGGTATTTGTTATTGGAATCAGTGGCACACCTGCGACTTATAGTGCTGTCGTGTTTGGCATTGTTGAAATGTTAGCATTCTGGAATCGATGCACACATTTACTTGAAATGTTAAAAACTTATCAGAGGATGTTTAGGGGCCCTTCGTAAATCATACACCACGTCCACCTTGCACTTCATAACTTCATGCAAGCCCCGTCCTGTTTGCGTGTCTCTTCTTCTTGTGTTTGTTGCGCTACGCTTGCTGAGATGCGCAAGTTCTACTTACGCGAATTGCCAGACGTGTGCGTTTCATCCTCGTCCAAATCGAGTAATGCATCTTCGTCAGCAAGGTCAAGCTCGTAGTCATCCTGAAAATGAGATCTCCACATGAGCACAACAAAGCTGCAATGGTGCACTGCTGAACTCTAAGCAAAATATTCTAAAAAGCTTCATGTCTCAATAAAGCAGAACTGTTAATCTACACGAGACACTATGTAATAAGGTAAGCCTGCCAGTGGCTCGAAATACCAAGTGCTTATTATGAGCTTGTAGTTTACCTAGAGAATGAATTAACGCCACCTAATAGGTAAACGATGCTACCTTCGACGCTAAATTCGATGGCATGCCCAACGTCTACAGTTCGGTAAGAAACAGAACACAATGGTTGCTAAATAACACGAGGTGATGCCGACGCGAGAAGGCAGCCGAGTTACGACTACTCGAAGGTAGAAAAGATTGCAATTTCATTTCCCGTGCTCCTCGGTATGCACCTACAGCAAATGCGAGACTTGAGAAGTAACCCGCATCTCCCGGTTTTGCACGAGGCCGAGAGACACCGCAAGCAGCTTTCACCGTCACGCGCTTGCGGCACGGGTGACGCCACAGGTTGTTCGCAAATTCGACACACCGTGCAAAAAGTGAATCACTGTAGATTGAAAGATGAAGTTGTGAACGCTGCTGAGAAGCGATACGATCCTCACCTTTCCCTGAATGTCGTCGTCCAAAATGTCATCTTCGGCAATTCTGCAAGAACACATGACGTTACCACCTACCAAAAGTACGACGTGAGCGGGAAGCGGCGCTACGTTGATAGCACACCGCACAACACATCAGCGGAAATTAAACGTTGTTTAGATAGAGCTCGTGTAACAAAATCAGGGGAATAAAGACAAGCTTGCCCTCGGGTACTCAATTAGCCCGTCGAGCAGCTTACAAGTTTCTTTAGGCAGATACGCAGCCACTTATACCAACAGAATTAGAGGTCACCTTATCTCTTGAATGTAATCAATTGCAAGTGCAATCCAAATATGTGACACTTAAGCATCGTCTAAACTTTACTAAAAGCGCAGCACGCACCTTGCTGCCATGTCTGTGAAAAAGTTAGGCTTCAGATGACGATTTAAAGATATTTAAGTGTTTGCTTCAAGGGACTGCTTGAATTTGTCGCATGATGGTAATGTGGCATTGATCTATTGTTTGAGCCACTGAAAGTTATGATAAACAAAGTTGTTTGCTAAAAGTTAAGTTGATCACTTGATCAGACACATCGCAACAGAACGGCCCAACCGCTCATATAGGTTTGTTATAGCGGCTGTTAGCTCACAGCAATAACAAATGAAACAGATGGCGCTACATACTTAAAAACTAGGTACGTCTACTAGGACGTTTTTTTTTTTTTCGTCTTCTTCCAGTCTTTTTTCTTCTTTTTCTATTTCATATATGTGTGCTACGGTGGCATTAAAATTATAAATACATCCGCCCGTTCAAAAGGAAACTGCAGCAAATTACCACCATCATCAACCAGTGACTAAACATCACGTTGCTAAACATCCATGCTACCGTGTACTAGAAGAGGGAAGTGGAATGAATTAGAGATACTGTATATGCGTATACAGTAATTCTAGAATGAACTAAAAACCCTTAATCTTGGGAAAGTAACGACACTCTTCTCCACGGGCGCATTTCCTCCTCAATTCTCCTCGCCCGCTTACCATACGCGTGGCACGCGGCGCCATTTTTCGCCGAAACTCCCGCTGGTACGCCGCAGAATTCAGCGGAGGTGGGTTATTTGCAGCATCTTGCGCTCCACAGCAGAACTCAATTTTTTTCTAAAAAGTGATAATACAGCTATAAGAACACCGAGGCAGCCGTTTATTAAAAGATTAGCTTCTTCTAAACGTCGTATAAGTAAGGCAAGCTAATTAAATAAAATATTTATGGGGAGTTCTACGATGCGGATGTTTTACTGCCGCATAACAACATGCTGTACGCTTGCATCTGATATAGTTCAGCTCGTGGCATGTCCGTCTGTCTTCGTTTTTTTTTTTTTTTTTCGTGCTTGTGCGCCACAGGTACTTACAGCGTCACATATTGCAAGGACTTCGTGGATGGCGGATCATTTAGCCATATGTGTTCATCTATTCGGCGTGAAAGTAGCTTTGCGCAGTGGTCTCCAAACTGAACCAGGCCTTTGAGCAATGTCAATACGATTAGGTGTCACCAACACTTGACTCATCTACCACAATAACAGAAACATAAGAAATTGATTAATTAGAACTGCGTTTTGATTCATGTCAGAGAAACTAACGATCGGGTTACCTGTGAGAGGAAAAACTCTTCCCCAGGAAGATCATCATAATCACTATGTTCTCTGTAGCGGCCATAGGGAACCGAAGCTCAAGTTTGCGGAGCGATGACAACGCCGCGCCTGGCCCTGGCGGCGAGCTCTGGAACACTTGAGGAGAGACGCTGGAGAGGTCGCAGGCGAGTGAGTGTGCTTCGCCGAAACAGGAACGCGTGCGACACGCGCGCAACAAGACGCTCGCTGTGCGAAGTTGCCTTTCCGCAATGGAAGAAGCGGCTCACGGAAGCGTCGCGAGGCCCGAAGTATTGCGTTGTGGGATGCCACAACAATGCAGAAAACACCAAGGGACGCTGTCCACGTGTAAAGCTGCACCAGTTTCCTATCAAGTCACAGCCGGTGAACACAGCCGCGTTCGCGAATGATGAGCAAGCATGACACGAGAGCTGGAAAAAAAAAAAGGCGAGCACTTCAACTTTATTCGTTGTGGTTAAACTTAGCTTGCTGCTTCGCGGCGAAGTCAGCGGGTCATGGTCGACACGGAGGACATGACTCTAAAACATCTCGGACATTTTATTGCCATGAATCTATACCATAGTTTTTATTTATTTTTGCAGCACGCAAAATGCAAATGACAGTACACGGCTGCTACTGCTAGATACCACATCAAAACACCAATTATATGGTTTCCATAAACGTCGACTGAGTACGCGCCTTCATGTCGACAGAGTGAGACTTACCTCGAGGCATACGTCGTACACGGTATCATCACGAAGGACCCGAGAAATGCATTTCGCACTGACTCGGTCGTCCTCGTCTTCCGTCGTCTGCTCCACATCATAAACTTGACTAACGAGCTTTACTCCTTTGGGTCGATTCGCTTCTCGGAAGTACTTGTCTAGCTCAGAGATCTTTGTGAAACCGCACTGCAGGCGGTACATTGTGAGGTGACTCAAACGCAGCGCGCGCTTTGGGCGAAGGGAAAACGCAACATCTACTTCCTCCATTTTTTTTTTCTACCAAAAATGGCGCTGCCGATGGATGGGTGGAAGAAACTGCCGAACACTTGATAATGTTCTGTAAAGAGCTTCACCCTATAGTTCAGGATGATGACGCAGAGTTTTTCAAAGCACTGGGGTTTAGGGACAGGGAAGGCAAAATAGACTTTAAGCGGGTAGACTTAACTAGAAGGAGGTTATCTGATTGGTGGCTAAAGTCAAGGCACGAGTGAAAATTAAGCCCTTCACTGCAAAGTACCCGTCCAACTTTACTATTCAAAGGAAAAAAAAAAGATAAATCTAGTGGTTAGTTCACTAAGTATTACGGCTAGGTGTCGTTAGCCGCCGCCCGATCTAAAGGGTATAGCCATAGAGAAATAAAAAAAAGGTTAAGAGTGGACACTCCCGTAGACCCCAGCGGCCCAATCGACCCTAGCACACCTGGTGGTTGGTGAGAGCAAGTGGCGTGCGCTTCCTGCTTCGGTTTCACTGGCGCAAATTTTGAATTACTTTGCGTAACCGACGTTTGGCTATGACGAAAGTTCATGATTTCAGACCACTATTCATCGCCCAAATGGATAGTTTTTGTAGGTCGTTTTGATTTAGCGATTCCCTGTTTTGTTTTGTTCAGTGGTTCGTGCGAATCGGTCGTGACGTAGTTTTTATTTCGATTAAGCTATAATAAAAAGAGATGCAGGTAATGATAATTCACTACGGTTTTATTCATCGCGCTTGTGTTTTTCTTTTGGAACAAGTGATCAATGTATATATCAGTCAAAGAGAGAGTATCCGCAATGTTTTATTCAAAGGCAAGGTAGAGTCTGAGAATATAAAAAGCACAATATGACAAAGGTAGACAACAAATGCATCTCGCCTTACGAATAAATTGTAACAAATACAGAGAGAACACAGACAACGCACACATCGCTAGAGTTGGCAGAAGCCGAGAAGCTGGTGAAGTATGACACACCGGGCCAGTGGGTAAGTAAGGATCTATGGCAAGAACACAGCGCACAATGCTGATGAAGAAGGAAGAAGTGACATATACACAGCAATGAAGTCGCGAATCACGCCTGGGGTTAACCGAAATAATGCATAGAAAAAAAGAGCGCACAGAAACCACACGACACAATATAGCAGAAAGGCAAAGGTGCAGTGTGCTGGCTGTGCTTAAGAACAGCTAGTCCAAAATGAAAAAAAGCAGACTTGATGCCTGCTTGTCCTCAGAAAGGTAGGGCTTTGCAGCTTGCTCACTACGTGAAAGACAAACTTTATGCTACAACACTGGCAGATCTTGTGGCTCTTCTTCTGCGTCGCCTTCATCAAAAACTTAAGATGCCAAGCGATTTGCGTCTGGGTGTTGCTGTGACGCTTGCGAGCTAAAATAGATTGTAGTCATCACTTATCCAGAATTGTGGACCTTAATTGGTGCTACGAGAGCGGTATTACAGGGCTAATAAATAGCAGAAGGAAACCACTTTGGCTCATTATTTTTCAAAGGCTCTACATCGTACGTTATCACTCACAAGCCATATAAAAATAAAATGGCAGCGTCCGCAGCCCCATCAAACGCTACAAGTTTGGGTATTCTTTTGAAAATTTTGATGGGCGAGATGAGGAGGTTGATGAGAAGCTAAAATACGAAAAGCGTGATAACGTGAACCGTGTCCACTTCATACTGTGTTCCTTAACCACTCGAAGACATTTTAACAAGCGGTTTTGTTATCGATATATTACTTGAGCTGGAGAGATAAAGCATACACAGTGACCAAGCGACCCACAGTAAAGTGTACAGTTCGCCCGCATTTGCTACAAAAATACAGACAGGATACCCAACATTCTTTTCAAGGTTATGCAAATCACTTCGAGCGAATACACAGTGTCCCTACTCCTCATAGCAGGTAACCTAAACAATGTATGCAACGAAGGAGTGGTTAGTCCAGTTGAATTGAATATAAGCATATACGACCATAATGAAGTCTGCTGTAACGAAGTAATAACATAACAAAGCTATTGCAGGATTCGGCTCAACTCGAATACTTTAGTGTAAACCCGCCGCTAATTGCTAACCTTTGAACTTGTCAAGCTGTATGACTGAGATTGAAGACTGGAACCTAACCCTATCTAAGTTTCGGTTCACAAAACGCACATGCCAAGATAAACGAACCCGGCAAAACATTTTCAGAAACTTCGCGCGACAACCAGCAGAGCAGAAATGAAAATCGCCAACACTTGACAGATGGTGATACAAAACATCGCACACTTTCAGGTGATGTGCAGTGGCCTCAATCATGGCAAGAAAGTGAGATTCAAGTTGTTGTACGTATGCAAAAGCTGCTTCTGATGGCACAGTGAGATTCCCAAAAAGTTTGCTGGGGACGTGGTATGCTTTGAGCATTGTGAAATACTGGTGGGTCCGCTGTGCTGCTACTTTGGCTTGCAGATGTTTAATGGTTTGCTTGTATTTCATTGATGGAGACATTGTCACTGGCACACAGGAACGCACTGCAATAAACAAAAAAATGGATGTAAAAACGAAGAACAACTAATCCCATACGAGCACTTTCCTCGCTCTTTCAGACCCAAGGTGCACAACTTTCTGTGGTGCAAAGTTTTCGATTCCACTACCTAAAAACAAACCATTCACAATGTTCACAATGCACAAAAAAAAAATGAAAATCACTGAGAGCCCACCCTTACATTTTGTAAGTGCACACGTAGTGTCCTTTTGAGGATAGTTTCCTCAGAATGTCCTAAACATAAAATAGCACATTAAAAACAGCTGCAATAAAAGCATAGTCACCATTTTCTCTAGGGCACTCAGACGTGGAGCTGTTGGCGGAGACATCTTCTGGAGGGTCTTGTGAAGCTTGTTCAGTGCCTCGGACAGTGCTGTCGGAACAATCTTGCGAGCGGCCTGCGGAAGTCTCTATCAATCCACTCTGGTGTTGAAGTGAACATACAACTTACCGGTCACACAAGTTCT